GGGGGGGGGGGGGGGGGGGGGGGCGCCTCACGTGTTGAGCCGGCCAGGATGGGTTTTGTGGCTCTCACAGACCAGCTAACATGTTTCTCCTTGAAATATATGCAAACATTTGGAATAAGGAAACCTTTGATTCAAACTCTACTCTCGTAAACGTGGACAAGTTTCAGCAGTAAATGACATAAAAGGATTATCTGCGGCTGGCTTGGACAGATTGACTGCAGGTTAGATGCTGTTGAACACCTTTTTGTCGTCGCCACGTCTCAGTGAAGCCTCGGCCCGTGTTCACAACTAACAGACTTACTGAGCGCTCTGTCTTCACATGCTAAAACATAACTCCTTTATTTTCTTCCAGGTCTCGTCTCTTCTTAGTGCTGGGAGCAGGCTGCTTCTGTATTTTTTTTTTATTAAAATTTATGCGCAACCCGTTGGCATTATAACTGTATAATATAATTTATCGTTTGTACTATTGTAACATACTGTTTCTTCTGTATACCTTTATTATTCTGTGTACTGGGTTCATCTTTTTTTTTTTTTTTTTTTGTAGAAAAAGTCATTGTGGTATTTTAACGGCATCTAAACACATGGAACGCAGCAGGCCGCACCCTGTTGGATGAGGACATCTGTAGCTGCATTTGGTTCAAAATAAAATGTTTCACTTCAGCTCCGTGACTCCAGGTTTCTTGTTTCAGATTTTACAGGATGAGTTTAACAGAACACACAAAACAAAACGTTCTAATGTGTTTATTTTAAAAAGTACAAAAAATATACATAGTATATAGTCATCTGTAGCCATAACATTATGACTACTGACGCTTTACTGCTTATATCGGTACAACTTGTCTGGACAAACGTACATTCTGGATGTTTGCCATTATGACCTGCATATATGGTATGTTTCTGCAAACCAATCACATCCTCAAGCTGCAGCCTCCTTCAGCAGGAGAGCAGAGGGTCCTGCGAAGAAACTGCTTCAAAATGTCTCAGTTAATGTTTGAATAGTTCTGTTCTTATTTGTTTTAGATTGGTTTTAATAACCTTGTTTTTGACGAGCCAACTTCAACTCTGTAAGAAACCTAAACTTAACCTTAAAAAAATCAGTGCTGTATGCAAATCCTATTTAAAAAAAAAAAACTTTTCCACTGCATTTTCCATTTTCAATTCCATTTGAGTTTAGCAAGACATCTAGTTATTTGCATGAACACAGCTAGCTGTAGCACTTGCAGCACAACCTGAAGGACTTCCTGCAGGTGTAAAATCATTCTGCCCAAAAAAAAAAAAAAGTTGAAATGGACAGAGGAAGAAAACCTTTTCAAACCACACTGGCTGGAAATGGTATGAAATTTGAATATAACGGCTTTAAAAAGATAAATCACTTTGATCTTGGCGCGATTTTGACAAGCTCTTAGATCATCAGTTTGACGAGTTGATTTCAAACAGATGACTCAAAGAGCCATCTACAAGTGGGATACTCTACTTTTAAATAGCTGACGTGTCAGTTTATTTAAAAAGGGAACAGATACGTAAACCCAATCCACTGACGACAGACAACGAATAAATTGAGTGTTCTAGTTTCAGATACTCCCAGATTTGTGTGTGTGCTCATATCTGACTGGTTAGAGCTGTTTTGGAGGGAGGGGTTATAATGTTTTGGCTGASTGCTGTAAATTCACACTTCAGTTTGGAGTTGATGTGTGCAGAAAACACCCTTGAAGTCTGATAAATCCGAGCAATTCTGATCATCGGTCAGGTGTGGCAGACTGGGTGTTTGACGGGACCGGTGGTCCCGTGTCGTAGCCTATCTTCTTCATGTCTTTAGTCATGATGTTGAAGGAAACCGTTACAAAGCCTTGGGAACGGACCCTCGTCACTGCAATGGAAAACAACACAATGTAACTTAACGGGCCAAAACCGGAGAGATTTTGTTCTAATGATGCGTTTGACTAAATAAAAGCACCGCCGACCTTCTCGGCCTTCTCCCTGCGCCACAACCTTGGGGTCCGTGTACTCAGGCCGTCGTCCCAACAACCAGCTGAACAGGGAAAAAAAAGTTTGAATGTTCACGAAGTCATTGAATTTCGATAAACGGCCACCATGAATACTGTTCTGAGTTTTTAAATTAAACAGAGCAAAAAAAAAAAAAAAACACTGACAGCTACTTTAAAAGGATTGAGGTGGGAGCTACAAAGCCCACCCCCAAATCAGATGGGGGATGAATGTCACCTTGTGAACTTCTGCAGTCTCCACGTGGGCTCAGGAACAAACATGGGGATGGTTCTTGTTTGTCTGACGGGTGAAAAAAAAAAAACACACAGTTGTATTTCATTATCACTGCTCTGAGCCGTAAATGAGAAGCGATGACTTGAGGAGGAATACTGACAGTCCGGGTGTGAAAGGGATRTGTGTCGCTCCGTAGCCCCTGACCACATCATTGCCGAACACATCTGGTCCGTACACACTCACCACCAGCTGAGGCCCTGGAAGACGACTCATGACACTCACCAGGTAGCACAACTGCACGTGTGATTTCTTTTAACAAAGTTTGATCGTTTGTCCTGGAGACAACTGCACACCAGGTGTGTGTGTGTGTGTGTGTGTGTGTGTGTGTTATGCTTACATCCATAAGGATTTGTGCTCTTAAAAGTTGTCTCCAGTGGAAAGTTCCATATTAACCTGTGGGAATGGCTGCTTTTGCAGGTTATTTGAGTGATTCCTTCTTCCAGCCCCTGTTGGAGAGCAAACACAGCAAATACTCAATACCACATTGCTATCATTAACAGTGCAAAAATACACTTTTGAGTACTCACAGTGGTGGGAGCCCAGTCGTGACCGTACACATAACAATATTTGCAGTACAAATTGTCATACTCAGGAAACTAAAACACAAGAAAACAGTTATCATGAAAATTAGAAGTGGTCCAGGTGAGAAAACAAAGGAAAGCACGACGCTTTGTTGTTGCTAATGCTAGCTGCTAAGATTAAAAAAAAAAAAAAAACGTAGAAGAAGAACTCACATTCGCTCCCTCGATTTGCCCGTTTACTGCAAGAAGGAACACTGAAGGGCTGCTTGTAGCCATCGTGTCTTGCAGTGATATTGTTTTAGAAACTCGCCTTACGACAATCTAAGTTGAAGTTACAAGAGGCCGTTGCTGAGGCAACGTTTGCTCCTTCTACGGCTACCAGCTTGGGTCAAATGAACAAGAGGGGGATGGGGCGCCTGAATGATTGGTTATTATCACAGTGTCCACGAGAGGGCGCCAAAGCAAATCTAATAAAATAAAGTCGTTAAAAGCCAGAGCAAGAACCAGTGACAGCCATAACACTACTACTACTACTACTACTACTACTACTACTACTACTACTACTACTACTACTACTACTACTACTACTACTACTACT